AACATGGTTAATTCCCATTGGAATGAATAAAATCAGGTTAAGTTGAATCAAATGAAATCATCTTTTTGTAGGTCAACTATGGTCCAATAACAACAGTTTAATGTGTCAGTCTCATAGTTCCATGGGCTGTTTAATTCAATGGTAGATGGCCACTAGTAAGTGGATTTAATATTACAAATTTTCATAGTAAAGGATATAAGCAGTTCTTTGACCAGCAGAGGTTTGGATTAGGTGAGATAATGAGTACAAAAGTGCTGTACAGACTATGAACACTGGGCAAATGCAAAGGATATTCAAAAATTAATCATTTATATGTAATATTCTAACCCTGGGGCTCTTAAATGTAATGTATAATGTATGTGCAACATTTGAAACTTTCTATAAATTTAGGTGAAATTCCCCTGAACTAAGTTCTTTCTTTCTTTTTTTTTTTTTTTTGAGAGGATTTTGCCATCGGGTGTGTGCACTCACTAGAAAGACAGAGACAGAGAGACAGAAAGAGAGAAATCACTCCCCCAGGAGGTATGGCCATGCCTCAGTCCCTTCTCCTCCATTCTCCTCTCGGGATCTTGGGCACACATGCACACGTGCCCGGCATGAGTTTAAGCCACCGGGTCCGGGACTCAGACTGTGGTCAACTACATGGGAGTCCAGCGACATAGCCATTACGCTAACTGCTGGTCCCCCACTGAATTCATTTCTAATGTGATGTTTCAAAAAAGCAAAGTCTGTGCTTGGTGTAGCTATTTGTTGATTGCTTTGGATATAGTCAACTGGAGTTCATGCTTGCCCATAAACCTAACAAAGGGTGTGTTTGAAGGCCAAAGGTAAAGTGAGAGATCACATGATATTAAAACTGGTGTGTGTTTGTGTTGGGGGGTAAGAGCAGCGTCCAGTGATGAATAAGCATCCAGGTACAGAATAAAGTAAAGCTTGTCAAGGCTTGGTTTCCTTGAATAGCACACACAAATCCTGGTCCCATGAAAGTAAAGAATTCCTTTGTTTTCAGCTGTTAACACATTTTATGAAAATGTGGCCAAAAATTACACAATTGTACAAAATGGTGTGCACTACTCCCAGAAATCCAGAGCTAGTTCTGAGCTATTCTCTGACAACAGCTCCCTCCTGGTGTGGATGTGAAGGACTCAAATGGCAAGGAAGTTTGCATCCCTTTCATCTCACTGCAATGCAAGTGGGTGCTACTTATTCAATTCTCATATGGTCAGGCTTCCAGGGCCATCATTTCTCTCTGGCTTCTGGGAAAATTAACATAGTCCATAAGATGTAGTTCCCCAAGCAAAACTAATCCCTAGTATTAGGACCCACTTGATGTAAAAAGAGACACTCTAACCAATAACCAATTGCTGCTTTTGGTGTGAACATCTTTATAACCAAAATATGTCAAGTACATTTATTTCTGCTTAATGTACATTTTCATTACAATATGATCTTGGTTCATCTGCAGGAGCCTCAACACAGTTCATTTATCTAAAGTTTCTTCATTCTCTGAGGTGAAACCAACTTGTTTGTGGGGCAAAGAAGGAAATACAGGACTTGTTAATGATGCAGGAGACCAGGTTCAGTGGAGGAGTGATGGTACCCACAGAACAGGGGTTAGCTGTTAGCTGGAGAATCATAAAAACAACAACAGGGAGAGGCCTTGTCTGCGTGAAGCAGGTAGGATCATTTTGCTGTGGAGTATCACTTCCACTAGCAGCTGCATCTTCCCTGCCAGAGGTAGCCGTTGGTGGGAAAACTGCTTTGTTTATTGCTTAATCTATCACTGTTGAGCTACCTGCCTCAGGGAGGCTCAATTTAAGATAGATTGAAAGGTAGTGTCTGTCAATTGAATAAACACAGATGGTTTTCCACAACAGAAATTGATTTTTTTTCCCTCGCCAAAGACATAACCACTAAACATGATTATCTTTGGAAGCCAGGCGTGAAATGTCTCCGCTCCTGCTGCACTCTGCCCTGGCAGAGAAGTGATACCATGAGGGCTTTTGGGTCTCTCTCACCCAATTTTAGGTTCTCGAGGTAGAATAAAAACTTGTCTTACCTAGAGAAAGGCCTGGCTAAGTTCTTCCCAGAAGAAGGTCAGAATCAATCCATTAGCTGATCCACAAAATAGTTTTACCAGTTCTTGGTCATTTGCTAGAAAAGCCATCCTTCAACCCTTTCATTTAGGAGTCTCAAACAAATAATAAGATTTGCCTAAGGACACACAGCTACACCTAGACCTCCTCATTCTGTGTCCACAATCTATACCCTGATGTCAATTGAAGGAGACTTGATGATGAGTCCTACTCCCAAAATGTCTTTGGACACAGTAGACCAGAAATGCTTGAACAAGTCATGCTAGGCACCCAGAACCTATATACATTAGCAACTAACTGGGCATAGAGTCAATTATACTCAAGGTTTTTGTTTTTGTTTTTGTTTTTGTTTTTAGAGGTTTTTGCTATAGGGTGCATGGGCTCGCCAGACAGACAGAGAGAGATAGAGAGACAGAAAGCGAGAAATCACCCCCAAGGGGGATGGCCATGCCACAATCCCTTCTCCACCATTCTCCTCTCGGGATATTGGGCACACATGCACACGCACCCGGTGTGAGTTTTAAGCCACCGGGTCCAGGACGCAAACCATGGTCGACTACATGGGAGTCCAGTGATATAGCCATTACGCCAACTGCTGGTCCCTATTCAAGGATTTTTAAGAACACCCAGGACAAAATTGTGGAACAGTAGTTCAAGACAGCAGGTGCATGGAGTTGAAGGAGGGTGAATAGGAAGAGCACCCTTTGTATAATGAAGAGATTGAACAATGTTTTCTTATATCACCTTCATCTCTAATTCCAAAAAAACCCAGCAAGTTCATGTAACATCACTTGTGCAAGTCCTTCCAAGGAGCTCCCAGAAGCAATAGAATGGTCTATCTTTTTTCTTACTTCCAATATGAATGTGAGTATGGAATAATAGTTGAAGGATTTCCAAAGAGTTGTTGCAAGGTAGCCCAGGAGGGGCAAGGAGGAGCAACTGTGAAAAGTGGGCTATGTAAATACCCACTTTCTAGATGGAACTAGAAACAATGAAGAGACTTGGAGAATTTCAATAATCCTAAGTACTGTCTACTCACTCTTGAGATGAAATAATTAGTCTAAAGAAGGGAAACTAATAGCCAAAGTCATATGTCTAGAAGTAGAGTTGGGATTTCAAGCTAGAAATCTTTCATATATACTGTCTTGCTTTGCAAACTATAAAAAGTAATTATAGACTACCAGGAAAGTATGTGTGTACAGTACCTAACAAGCCAGCCCTTGGTGTGGTGGTGAAGGTGGCTGGATTTCACATGGTCCACTGCATGATTTGAGTCCTGGATCAGTGGCTTGAGAAATATGTCGGGTGTGTGTGCATGTATACCCATAATCTCTAGAGGAGGGAGAAATGGAGGACAAGGAATTGTGATGTGACTATCCCCCATGGAGTGTGTGGGGGGAGGGAGTGTATTCTTTCTCACTTTCTCTCTTTTCTCTCTCTCATCTCTCTCCAGTGAGTGCACACACCCTCTGGCAAAACAAAAGCAAAAATAAAATCCTGTAACAAGTAGAAGTGAAGTGAAGAAATTTTACTCCAGCAAATACAACTTTAAATATAGATCTTTACAACTGCCTTGGTCCTAACTCCTGAAAGCTCTGCAGACAATGAGCACATCTTCATATCAAGAGACAAAGTTTTTATATGTGCCATGCAGAAAACAGAGAAGGCTATTTATATCTCACCTAGATAGAGAAATCTCAAATTAAATTTGTCTCAGGGTGGAAGGGATACATATTAGGGTACATTTACAGATTTTGACCTTATCTGAAAGTGGGTTGACATGTTTGCAAGAAAATATGGAAGATTTAATGGTAAGTGAAACGAGCCAGACTGTGAAAGAGAAGCATTCTATGTCTCCATTAATATATACTGGGTGTTTTCACTCTATGGCAGAAATGGGAATATTGGAAAGTATGAAAACATGAAGAGCAGATATGGATACCAGAGATAACCTGGGAGGAAGGGAGGCAATGGGGGAGGGCAGGAGAGAGGGAGGGATTCAAGGGAGAAAAAAAAATTAACAGAGACAAAAATGAAAAATTATCTGCTGATGATAATGTGTTTGGTAATAACTTTGAACTAATACACAGTGTATTCTTAGTATTCATTTTGTATGCTGTACAGATGTACAGTTATTAAATGTAAAAAAAATTTAATTATGGACATAGAAATAAAAATAATAAAACAAACAAACAAACAAAACCTCAATTCAAAGGTTCTAAAGCAAGGTAGTCAAATTTTTTTTAGTGTCAGTTTGACTCACTTAGAAAAATAAAAATTTCAGTCCAGTCTTTTTCTGCACCTGGGCTATTTCATAAATACCTTTCTTAAATAGAAATAAATCTGTAGCTGCTTTTCAATCAGTTCTTAAAGTTAAGCCTCCCTGCAATTTCTTACACATATTCATACAGAAAACCATGTTACTGAAATTTTATTTATTCCTCCCACAAACTTTAGGGAAAGTACACATGAAATGTAAACAAGTTTCTATTTCTGCTTAGGTACAATCCTTTTATTCTTATATTGAAACTATTGCTTCAATGTAACAGACAAAGATGGCCAAATCTAAGCAAATACACTTGGCTCAAAACCTATATACCAAGAATAAACACCATACTCTATGCACTTATAAATATTTGATGAATTGAGGGCATGGTCAAATTTTTTCCCAAGAGGATTTCTTTTCTATGGTGGAATAGCACCACGAATTATTAAAAATGGGTAACAACAATAGGACTCCCATTGAGCGAAAATTCAAAGTGTGAGATATTATACCGCAGCTATGTATGGATCTTTGTATATGCGTCTCTGTGTTTGGCAGCAATTTTGCTCTGAAATTATATATTGAGTGTTTCTCCTATGTTCTCAGTAACTTTTTTCTTTGATTTAAGTCAACACTTTTGCCTTGATTTAAGTCAACACTTATGGTTTTGTTTTATATAAAATTGGCTTCTGGTGTTAACAATTTGGAGACTGTTCCTCCTACATGGGGCTCTTTCGTAGGGTTGACTTTTCATGCTGGGAGTGTAAATGAAAGTTGTTCCTTGTTTTTTGTGTTATAGATATTCCTGAGAAAGGAGTCAAATCATATTTTTAAAGCATAGCTTCTCCCTAAAGAAATGACAAGATGAAGTCTTTTACAAAGTAGACATTCAATGTATGATCATCTGCTATGTAGATCTGGTTGTTCACATGGTTTCTATGACTTAATTGGCCACACTTGTATATCTGGGCTTGAAGCTTAAAATAATAATTACGTATTTGTTCCTTTTTCTGAAAAAGTGAAGGTTTGCCTCTGAAGAGACATTCACAGGCTGAAATGGAAAACATAAGCCTGACGGCTTACTTTGAGATATAATAGTGATTGATTTAGACCTCTCCCCAACCTACCTATACCATTCATGAACTTTCTGAAGGGTCTTTGGAGGGTACAGAGACAACAAATGTGAGGGCTCCTGACTAGCCATAAAACAAAACCAGGAATCCCTAGTGGGGCAAAGTCAAGGATCAGTCTAGACATACCCCTCATGACAGATGTTTCCATTGATTAGGCTGAAAGTGGCCACAGAGGGGTTGGTACTCTTGAAGGAAGTCATGCAGGTGGTACTTCTGCCAGTGCTGTGAGACCGAGTCATCAAGCCGGGTCGACAACAAAGGAGCTGGGTGTTGAACTGTTTCCTGAAACTCTTGCTCAGCAGATAGAGGGCAAAAGGGTTCACACAAGAGTTGGTAAAGGCTAGGAGGCGGGCACAGATGCTGGTGACAAAGTGGAGCATTGAGGTGTCCACCTCAGAGTAGTGGTAGGACCGGTACAGGTAGATGACATGATTGGGGAGCCAGCAGAAGGCAAAGAGGCCCACAAACACCAGTACTGTCTTGGCGAGTCGCTTCCGGGATTCAATCTAAGGAGAGAGAGAGAGAGACCAGGGGATAGTGTTAGAGGAAGACAAAAAGACAAGATTCAAAGGGAGAAAGGGACAGGGAAAAACAATTAAGGAAATAGATGAACTCACCTAATCAAAGAAATAGGAATTTAATAGGAGAAGACAAGAGAAGATTCAATAAAATGAGAGAAAAGCAACAGAAATAGATGTAAAAAGGAAAGAAAAAAGGGGGGGAGAGGCAGAAACACAGACAGATGAGTCAGGAAGTAAAAATCTATGAGGTAGAATAGAGTTAGAAAATGCAGCTGAGAACTGATCTTTAAACAAAGCCGATTACATGCTTGAATGGGTTACACAATAAAATTTTAGAAAATGTCCTCTTTTTTCTCAAGAGAGCATTGTTGCAGTTTATTAGCCATATGACTCCATGGCTCTCTTTGCTCCAGTTAATAATTTCTTATTCTCCCAGATGCTCAAAAAAAGCAGCCAGTTTTTTTTTTTTTTTTTTCCTCACTGGCTAAACCAAGGTAACTGTTTTTATTATTTAATCTCTAGTTATTTGTGGACTATACCATATAGGAAGGTTCTTAGACAAAGTGAGGTGAGCATCTTCTTTTACTCCCAACTCCCTCTGCTATTCTAAGGGTCAACATGTTTCTCATTAAAAATTTCGAGGTACAAGGGCCAGCAGGAAGTGGTTAAGTTGCTGAATTCCCACATGGCCAGCCGTGTGGTTTGAGTTCCAGACCTAGAAGCTTGAAAATCATGCCAGGCTTGTGTGTATGTGTGTGTGTGCCCAAAATCCTAAGAGGAAACTGGAGGAGAAGGGATTGCAGCATGGCCATATCCCATAGGGGGTAATTTCTCACTCTCTCTCTCTCCAGCGAATACATGTGCCCTATGGCAAAAACCTAAAGTAATTATTTTTGAGGTACAATGCATATTTACTGCAAGGAGGCCCCTTAAGGAAGGAAATAGTTTCATTTAAAACTCACTCTTCCCTGGAAATTGAGGCAAAAAAAAAAGGAAACCAACAAACAAAAAACAAATGAACAAAAAGAACAACAACAAAAAACTTCAAAGGGAAAGACCTCTAAGTGAGTCAACTATTTTTTTTTTGAGAGATTTTTGCCTTAAAGTCAACTATTCATTTAAGTGGCTGAGGTGTCTTTCTGCTTTTTCATCATAAATACTATGTGATTTATATATGAGATAGAAAGCAAGAAGAACTGACAAAGCAGAGGACATCAGAGCCTGTCATTTCTACCATTTGTACCTCAAAGAGGAAATCATAGGGGGTTCGAGGGAGAGTCTAATACACATGGAGGCCTTACATACAATCTGTCTCTCTTGGAATCCTCCAGGAGCCTTGACATGGGGCTTAGCAACCTATATTTTAGGTAAGAAAATGGGGGCTCAGAGAGGGTAAACAAGTAAGTTATGAAGCCTATATTTGAGCTCAAATCAGTGTGAGCCTATTTTAATCAAACTACTATTTTTCTTCAACTGGCCTCATTTTCCTGTCCCTTCTGCTTTGTCTCCACGTGGTTACCCTCTTCCTAGCTGAATGTGACTGGAGTTCAGAGAAGTCACATCTGGCTCAGCTGTGGTGGCATGCACTGCTAAGACACTATGACCATATGGGAGGCCTAGATTCAATCCAGGTCCAACCTAAAGGCCAGTGTGCACCTTTCTGCCAGTGACTTGGGAGGGTGAGGCAGGAGGACAGTGACAGTGTGATACCCTGTCTTAAACAAATGAACATACATATAAAAAAGGCCCAACCACAGTGGTGCAAGCAGGCGGGTGCCACTGTGAGGTGGTTGAGGCTGTATAGGAAGCCTGCATTCAGATCTCCAGCCCAACCTAAACAGGCTGAGTGTGGTGGTACTTGCCTGTGGTCCTAGCTAACTGGGAGGCTGGGGCAGGATGGATCATAACACGATGAGACCTGTCAAAAAATATTTGTCTCTCTCTTAAAAAATGTGACATTCCTATGAGCCTCAATACTTTATTATTTAAAATGCTTTTTCAGATGTTTCTCACAAAGAAATTCACACTTCCAATCTTTCAGTCTCAACACTCCCTAGCTTAGATCCTTAACAAGTGAAAAAAATTAGAAAGAACACCTGAACTCCTGGGCTTCCGTGGTTAGGTATTTCCATCTAGCATCTGACCATAACATCAACCCCCCTCCTCCTTCACTGGAGAATCAAATGACTTCTGTATTTATCAGTGGGGTCCAAAAGAAATACAAATCCTTAAGGAGGAAATGTACTGATCTTAAGCACCAACCTGCTTCTTGACATGGATGTTGCCTTCCACAGGAAGATTGTAAGCACTCTGGATCAGATTTTTGGCAATGAAGTAGTAGTAGACGGAGATGATTGACAGTGGGATGATGTAAAAGACCAAAAAGGAAGCCATGGAGTGGATTTTGGGGTGCAACTCATTAGAGTGTGGGTATGGGGCACAGCTAATGAAGGTCTGATTGGTGCTTTCCTCGTGGAAGGGGTGGAGGTCAGAAAACACAGCCTCTGGGATGGCCAGCAGCATGGAGATGACCCAGATCAAGGCGGCTTTGAGGCAGATCTTCATCAGGGCATGAGAGGCCTGAATGTCCATCGGCCGGACAATGGCTTTGTACCTGGGATGGGGAAGAAGGAACATTCTGTGTAAGTTGCCTAATATGATTATGGAGGCCAGGGCTGGGACTTGGATAAGGCAAGCAAGACTTCTGAGATTCCAATACTTAAGGATGTGCTCACTGTCAGGTTCAGGAAAGTGAGAACTCTGAACTCTCAGAATCTTGACAGTATGTGCTTCCTTATATTTTGTACCCCATCCACCTCGCTAGCCTCACCCTAGTCCAGCCCTGAGGATGCTTTCCCCTTTCTCCAGCAGTACCATTCTACCTACATCGTTTCTCCTCCCCCTCCCAGTTTAGAAGAATATCTTTAAGTTAATTAATTTTAATGGATAAAATTATATATATTATTTATGTACAACAGGATGTTTCAAAATATAAGTACATTGTGGTTTCACTCAGTGGAGCTAATTAGTTTGCATTATCTCACATGTTCACTTTTTTTGTGATGAAAACACTTAAAATTCACTCTCAGTGATTTTTCAGGAATACATTGTTCTTCACTATAGTCACCATTTTGTACAATTCACATTCTCTCTTAATTTTAAGAATATTCTTCAGAAAATCTAAGGCTCCTTTCATGTTTCTTCTTAGTTCATAGACATTACTGACAAGGCATGTTGCTTTTTAAAGAAGGACACAGGAACAAGGAATATTCAAATACAGTTTAGAGAACCTTAAGCCATTGATTGCTTTTTTACAAGTTTATTTATTTCCTTTATGTATAAGAGAGGCAGAGAGAGAGAGAGAAAACCAACAGAGTCTTAATGCCATGATCCTCCCTCAGCCTCAACCAGCTCCAGATGATGGGCATATGTACCCCTAGTGTGCTCAGGAAAGTCTCCAAATGTGAACCTTGACCTTACCCTGTGGTTCTAGCCTTGCAGTCATTGGGTATTTTAAATATGCCTCTTTTCTCTTTCAAGTGATGCAGAATGAATGGTCCACTGAAAAAGTTATACCCAGAAGGATCTCGGTAATTGTCAAATCAATATTTCCCTTACCCTCCTGCTCTGTTTGAGCCTTCTCTTCTCTTGAAGTATGTAGTCCTCCCTGGTTCATGAACTATTTGTGACTCTATCTTGGGTTGGAATGCCCTAGGAAGCAGACACTGGGATGAAGTCAGAAATATGAAAGAAAGGGGGAGGAGGCGGAGGCAGGATTGGGCAGAAGGTGCTGTCAGGCCGTAATGAAGACCTGACAAGGTCTACAGCAGTGAGGGTAACCAACCATCCTGATTTGCCTGGAAATTTTCTAGTTTTAGCACTGAAAGTTCTGTGTCTTGGGAAAACCCTTAGTTTTAGCAAACTGGGAAAGCTGGTCAGTTTACACAGACCCAATGGGGAACATTGCAGTGCAGATTGACCAATGGTGAAGTCCTTCCTTGGGCAGAAATGGCCAGCCCCTTGTCTCACCACCTTGTTCAGTCATTGGCTGGGACCACCTCAAAAAAGTATGATTACAGATGCTACCTGACAGTCACTAGACAGGAGCAGAGCTTGACCAGAAGTCACCCTGAAAACTGAAGGGGACCTTGATAGAGCTGATAGCGGGAACCAGCAGTTAGCGTAATGGCTATGTCGCTGGACTCCCACGTAGTCGACCGCGGTTCGTGTCCCGGACCCGGTGGCTTAAAACTCACGCCGGGCGCATGTGCGTGCGTGCCCAAGATCCCGAGAGGAGAATGGAGGAGAAGGGATTGTGGCGTGACCATCTCCCCTGGTGGGTGATTTCTCGCTTTCTGTCTCTATGTCTCTCTCTCTCTGTCTGTCTGGCGAGCACACGCGCCCTACAGTGAAAATCTCTCAAAAAAAAAAAAAAAAAAAGAGCTGATAGCTAGAGGCTGTTAGCTAACCATACTCCCTGCAGTTGGGCAAGTCTCTTCTTCAAGGGAGGTCAGAGCAGCATGTCTCCATGTCTGCTACAACTCCCCATATAATGCCTATCACAGAGGACTACACACCTATCTTGTGTGCACTTGCCTGATAATTCACTAGAGGATGAACCTCTGCTGAACAGTGTATCTTTTTCCATCTTGTCCCTGCCAGTACTGTGATGTGCACATATGCCATGACATTTGCTCAATTGAATATGTGCTGCCATAGTGCAAAACTTGACAGGAGCTGGGACCAGCTAAATGAAAGGGTGCTATTGCTGAAAATGCTGTGTTTAAACTGGGTTCTCCCTACAGTACTTTCTTACATCATGGACTTCAGCGAGAGAAGAACACTAATTTCCATTTTGATTAGACCTCCTTTGAGTTACCATTCTTGGCTGCATCCTGACTCCTGACTTAGTTTCCTCCTGTTGCCAGGGAAGGGGGGATAAGTTATTCAGTGGTGAGTTTGGGATAGAGAACTTGGCTTGTGCTTTGGTCTCAGAGAGGTCTATGACTGTCTAACTGTCCCTGACCAGGAGCATGACATGTCTAGTACAGAAGATGAGAAAGAGTCTGTAGGTTCATTATTGTGATAGACCTACAGCACATTCTCCAAACAACTTTATCAAACATAAATTGAGGCCCAATTGCAGTGATGCAGGCAGGATGGGGTCACTGAGGGATACTGGAGCAGGCCCAGATATGGTCGTGCAGGCAGGAGGGGGGCACTGAGGGATACTGGAACCACATTTAAACTGAAACCAAAGTTTATATCTTAGGTCAACCTGAACATGCTGGGCATGCTGCACATATCTATGATCTCAGCTGGCTGGAAGGCTGGGGGAGCACTGCAATGTGGTGGAACTCTGTCACGGGCATCTCGTGCTTTCTTTCAGTCAACTTTTTGTTTCGTTTTGTTTTGCTTTTGCTATAGGGTAAATGTGCTCACCAGAGACAGAAAGAGAGAAATATAGAAAAAAAGTGAGAAATCATCCCCCACCTATTGCCACAGTTCATTCTCCTCTCAGGATTTTGGACACACACACACACACACACACCCACCCCACACATTTTTTAAA